CAGTGTCACTGGCCCTCATATGTGGGATCCGAACCGGGGCCCTCTGGCATCCCAAGCGAGTTCTTAACCATCGCGCCACTCGGCCGGCCCTATCGCGCCCTTTTAAAACACGAGAACACCGGGGTCAAAAGCTGGGAAGTGGGACGGTGACCTCGGTTCATCTGCCCAGAGCCCCTGTGTTGTCTGACCAGGACACTTGGGACATCTGTGACAGTGAATGCCGTGAGTCCAAAAATGAATGATGTCCTATTTGTTTTTACATCAACTTATCCAATAGTGTATGAGGATGCTCATCTACAGCTACTGAAAAATGAATGTGTCAACAATACAATTCACAGAAGCTGTGAAACTTTGTATAATCTCGGCCTGAGGAAAACGCGACTTAATAATAATAAGAGGCTAAGAGGTTTGTGATGTGCATTTCTTAAATTACTAATTATAGTTAGGGTATTTTAAATTACTTTTGTGCCATTATTTCAATGCATTTATAAAAAACATTCTATATAGAAGCATCTTTGATCTGAGCAGTTTTTTTTAACGCATATGATCAATAATTCTTTAATAATGAAATTTGGCATATCAAAATTCCTGTTTTCCCAGCCATGGTTGGCTAACCCAGACATACTAAAAATTTAGACAAACTGAAAGCCCTTTCAAGCAGTGCGTTTCCCACAGGAGGACCCTTGACGAGAGTGGAGGTTTAGTAGGAAGCAGCCCTCTGCAAGCCTGAAATGTCTTTGAAGTTGCACGTTAAATGTCAAAAATGCACTTGAAATTTTGCCTCCTACTCCACAATATATTTGTTTCAAGTGAAAACAAAGTGTTCCTTGTTTCCGCACATCTACAATCAAAATTGCAGGAAGAGTTGCCACATGGAACATGCAACTTTCAGAACAGGAGTCTAAAGGTAATGAATTTTAGCAAAAAAGCATGGGGCCCTAGGAATACTTAGGATTTATCTAGGCAAACAGCCTATTTCCTAACTTATGTAGCCAGATACTGACTTGAAGGCAAAATAGAGAGAAGACTGTTTTCCCCAGGTTAAGAAAATTGAGTGTGTAGCCCAGAGGGCCCTGTGTTTCCTCACACCATTCTTCTGAACTTTCAGATTACCATTTGTCTTGTTCTTACACTGCTTTGCTTGGTTTATTTTGTTCAGATATTATCCCTCCACAACACAAAGCCATTGCTCATGATTAATTTTTCTGTTTGGAACAGCCACAAGAGGATATTATTACACCTACGAAATGAATGGGCATTATATTCTTTACCATTTTTATATCCATTTTAAAGCACATTCTTGTTTCAGCACTGTCATTCCAATTCTATTCAGAAACAGTGCACCTTGAACATTAAACTATTAATAGAATTGTCTTAATCACTACTAATGTGGGCATCAGGCAATTTCTAAAATCCTCCATTTGACAGGAACCCAAGAAAAAAAGACTATGATTATTTCTGGGTTTTGTTTCTAAACCACACATGAGCCTTACCCTGGAGTCAGCATCCAGAAGACACCGGGAGATGATGGTATCCAAGAATACCTCGTGCGCTGCAATGATGTGATCCAAGTCTCGGGCCTGCTGCACTTTGTTCCAAAGTTCATCCCAAGAACATTCAAGCACCTAGGGAACAACAATGCAAAATTTAGGGATAAGGTTATGTTCTTCCTAGTGTAGCATCTTCTACAAATAACACCAAAGTCATAAGACATGACTTATTTAAACTAATATCAATGGATGATTAGACTGTACCTCGAATGTAATGTAATACTGCATTTGATGAATGAAATGGACCATCTCAGATGCCAGAATGTGACAGTGATGCAGCACCCCAGAGAACTCTGCAAGAGAGTCAAAGAATTAATGTTAGGCACCACAGGGAAATACACTTAAAACCAACACAATGCTCTCCCTCCTGTATATCTGCAATATACCTTTCAAAATAAAATAAAATAAAATAGTAGCTTTAATTCGTGACCCCTAAAACAGGAAATAACCTTTTCATAATCATAATCAATTTCTATGATGTTCATGCTAAACAAGGATTTAGCTATCTCATCAAGTAGCATTATATTACTTTACAGAATATAAAGACCTAATAAAAAATGGCATAAAACAAAATAATTGTATTTGAAAAATAAATAGAAAAATTTTATCTTATAATAATGCAATATCCTGATTAAATATAAGCTCCATTTTATGGCTTCTTTACAATTAGTCTGCCTATTGTACATGAACCATTTACTATTCCCTAGCTCTCTGGAGACAAAAGTGACATTTCCTTAAGGACCTGAATGTGACCTTGTCACCTGAGAGAAACATGAACCTTGAAGGGAGAAGGGAGGTGAGCCTGAGCCCAGACTCTGCTTCTGTTCTTTACTAGATTATAAAGCCATCTAAAGGCTTGAAGGTCACCATGGAGCAGCCGTTCTCTGCTCCACTTTTAATTTCTCATTCAAAGGCTCTACCAGAGTATGATGGGACACTATTGTACACGAGGGTGCAATCAGAGATGGGTCCATCAGAGGAAGGACTACAAAGAGGTTTTAATATGGGTCAGACTTGACAGGTTCTTGTTACTGCTGCAAATGCCTTTAAGTAGCTACCTAGATAATTTGTTGCTCTATGCAGTCATTCAAAAAAATCACTCTTAAGAGAGTAATGAGGAAGTGAAATCTATGAACGGGTGTGAAAAAAATAGCAGTGACGATATATACTTCAAAAAATACTCTTTTCTGTAAGTTAAGGATTAAGTGACTGGGGATTCTGCAGGCCTCGTTTAACATGTACTCTTTGGCCAGTGAAGAAACAGCAGGACCACCTCAGAAGATCAGCACGTGTTCCAAATACACCTGGTATCTTCCACGCCATTAAGAATCTGTGACCCATGAATATGGTAAATATTCTTCCAAAGAACAGGTTTCGAGCTTCACATTTCATCTGTAAGCCTAGAATGAAGAGGTACTTTTTTCTACTAAACCTCAAATGGGGCTAAGATTCCTAGTCTAATACTTAGAGTGTCTTTGACTGAAATTACTTTTCAATGTAAGAGAGCATAATAAAATGCTGTTTTAAGTGATATTCATCTATCTTATGGCTTAAGTAAGCTTCTCAGGGGAGCAACTACCATTTATAACCCTGTTTCAGGTTTTAGCCCAAGGCTGGAATGACTGGACTGTGTCTTCCCCGTGAAGCCAGGCAGTCTTGTCTGGAGCACTGGCTATGGATATTTAAAACATCCAACGTGTGTGCAGGCACGCACAATACATACTGGTTCTCACGGTCTTTCCAGGGTGTGATTTGATTTCCTTGTAGTGTAGCAAACAAAGTTAAATAAAATAATCTAGATAACTATTTGTGGGAGGTTTGTTTATTTTTCAATGTTCGTAATTTTATCATAGAATTTTGGTGGACTTTTTTATCTGGAAACAAATTGAGTAATGTCTTTACAAATCACACATAATGATCCTCAGGTCTCGCTGTCATATTCAATGTCCCTGAATCTGTCCTCTAGTGCACTTTGAATAGTTCCTAAAATGCACTGCTTTGCGTGTATTCACAGTAAATGCTATCCATTTATTTTCCAGCCTTGTGTAATGACTATGCAGCTTACACGTATCCATCTTGACATTTTTCTACCACAGGAAGTTTAACATCACTGACAAAATCTTCACATACTCCTGATAGATGACATGAAAATGTTAACTACTCTTGTACTACCTCTGCAGGACCCTATATTTATTACAGAAACATTAAAAAAGTTTTTGTGGCTACTCTCCACTGTCTAGCTCCAATTTTCTACACATAATAAAAGCAGCTCAATTCCATGAAAATTGAAGTTTGTATTGTTCCTTTTAAATCTATATTTTTTAGGGTCTCTTCTAGGGTTTTCCCACTGGCGTCACACCAACAATCAATCCAGCAGTACTTAGATAACACATTGGTTTTTCGTAACAGGTTACACGTTTTTGCTAACATTTTTTACATTTCATTTTTTTTTTTTTTAAATAATAGGATTCGGTTTTTTTTGTTTGTTTTTTGTTTTTGTTTTTTAAAGATTTTTATTGGGGAATTGGGGGAAGGGGAACAGACAAGTTGCTGTCGTTTTGTTCTTCAGTCTAGCTGTGGAGGACGTTGCTTCACTGGCCCAAGTTGGCACCATCACTGCGCTCTTCCCGGGTGAGGCAGATCAGTCACCAGCTTCTGGACGACCATTCACTGCGGCTGCTGGCCACTCACGCTGGCTGCTGGCTACACACGGTAGCCCATGGCAACCCACTGTCACAGGGGCTGTAGCCTATGCCATCGCCGGCGACTCACGGCAGCCCAGCTCCAGGTTGAGCTGTTGTTCAGCATCCCAGCTGTAGAGGGCAGTGTCACTGGCTCTCATATGTGGGATCCGAACCGGGGCCCTCTGGCATCCCAAGCCAGTTCTTAATCATCGCGCCACTCGGCCGGCCCTTACATTTCATTTTTGAGCTCCTTCATAAACCAGAAATTTTTCTCTGGCATTAAGACAATTTGATAAATAGATATATAGTGTTTAAGTCATTAATTCTGTTTTATAATCTCTAATTTACTTGAGTGTACAATTTCTCCACTGCCAATTCGTCTTCTCGAGTCTCTAATGATACCCACATTTGGAAATGAAAATGCAACTGAATGACCACATAACAAAAACATTTACGAAAAAAAAAAATCATCATGTAATGTTGGAGTCAATGGCATTCAACCTCAGCTAGTCTTCCATGCCGCCGAGAAACCTTTTCTTTTCTCTTCCTTACTTTAAAACAGCGGTTTCAGCCCTCACTATCCTCAGATCTTTGTCCCACTGCTTTCTCTCCATTCTTCCTCCCAGGTCATGAGGCGCCTCTCCACCCTCTCGCCATCAAACCCACATACTCATCACCATCCCAGCTTTAAAGCTAATATCTGCCCCACCTCTGGGCTCTGAATGTCCTCTCCGTCTCTTCCTTTCCTTCTAGGAATTATCAACCTCTACTTCCTTCTTCCCAACAGCATTTAAAACTACTCTTTACACAAAGGTTTCCAGCCACCACCTTTTGTTTTGTGCGGGAGTGACTACAGTCCATTACCTTCCCTTCCTCGGCCCCACTAGCCTCTCACTGCAGAGTGAGCACTGCTGATCTGCCTCAGCTAAAGTCACCCTCAAATGACAGGAACAGTTGTCAGCCTTAGTTGATGTCTTACAACTGGGGCCACATTTGACTCTCCCTCCTCTTTAAAACACTTCTTTCCTTGGCTTTAGAGAAACAGCCTTCCCCCAGCTCTACCCATCTTTCTGGTTATGCCTCCGCATCTCCTTTAGGAGGTCCTGTTCCACTTCTCTTCATTCCAAGACCTTTTCTCTTCTCGCTCTATTTCTAGGCAATCTCGTTAATTCCACGGCTTCAAGTATCATCTAAATTAATAACGCCTAAAGTCTATCTCTAGTTTGGATCTGTCCTGGGCTTCAGGTCAATCTAACCAGATGTGTGGCATATATTGTTAAAAACATCTCAAATTAATGTACCTGAGTCAGAAGATTACCTCTAAACATGTTCCCCCTTCAGAGCTCCCTGGCCTGAGCGTTCCATCACCCAACAGCTCAAGTCAGAAACCTAGGCTGCCACCCTACTTCTCACCTCTGCACACTGAACCACCAAGTCCTGCCTCCCCCATCTCTCAGATCCATCCATCCACTCTCTCCAACTCCACAGCTGCTGTGTTCACCAAGGACAATGTCATCCCTCACACATTATTACAACTGAGTGGTCTGCCAACCTCCATTCTTACCCAGCAGATCCATTTTCTTAGTGATGCCAGAGGGGCTTTTGGAAAACACAAATCTAAGCATGTCATGCCTCCGTATAAACACTTCAATAGATCCCACTGCCATTCAAGTCAAACCGATTAACAAAGCCTTAAGGTCCTCAAGACCTGGTCCCTACTTAGTTCTCCTGTCCCATCCTTACCCCCTTTCTGAATACGTGACTCTGACAAGACCACTGCTCTACTCCCCACTCCTACACTCTTCCCTTGACCAACATACTCCTCTCTAGGTGCCACCCACCTTTGAGAGGCCATTTTTATCCTACCCACACCTGTCAGGTGTCTGCTTTTTGTATTCCTATAACACCTATCTTTCCCATATCAAACAATCTATCACAGTGTATCATAAGTTCCTGTTTAAATGTCCATCTTGCCTTATCAGGCAATAAGCTTCTTGACCACAGAGACCCTGTTTGTCATATCTGTCACTGGATACCAAGAACAGGCAGCACAAAGTGGGCTCTCAATGATTATTTAAATGAGTACAGAGGACATATTTAATGGCACTCTCCTAAATTAAAGCCTCTGAGAATGAAGAGACCTATGGCTGCTGCTCTGAAGACACTGCCTACTGAAAGGAATATGATAAAATAATCCACATAATAAAAGTATGAAATCCCTGTAATCCTACAATTCTTTCTCCTCCCCGAGTGAGAGAGTACGCTATGTGCAGTAAGTATTTTTTCTCACTGCCTGGTTAAGACTCTAATGATTGACTAGGAACTCAATTTAGAAGTAGACTGAATTTACAAGGTATAATTTGGTTGTTTAATTCCTAAAAAGTACAATTTAACAACTTACACCTAAAATACTACTTGAATCTCTTTAGTGAGCACCTTGAAAATACATTTAAAACAAAGTTAAAATGTAAGTACTTGTGTTTTTATGATTGACTCACAAATAATTATATAATTCTAAGAATCCCAAAAGCAAAGCAACATTTGCACTGAGGTCCAATAAATACATAAACAGAGTACATCTCCCACGAGGCTAGCTTATCAGTAGAGTTTTATACACAACATCAAGAATGACCATTCTTTCCTTTGGTTTATTTAGGATATGTGTTAGATTCATTTGTAATTCTTTACTGCCCTCTAAAGGTTGTTGAAAGAACTTCAAGTTTGATTTAAAAACACAAATGGCTCTTAAAGGACTTGACCATGTTTAGGCATCTTCTGTCAGAAGCATCTGCTGATGTGGAGATGCACCATAAACAGCGTTGAGTGTTGTTAAAAATTATAAAAGTTTCTTTTTTTTTAAATACCCTAAACATTTTCATAACAATTTCATAATCACCTCCTTCGACCTGTATTTATAATTGATGCTACTATATTTAAAAGTGACTTTATCAAATTACCCATCTGATTTATTTCTCAAGGCTAAAGAGTCAAAGGATGTTGGTAAGAACCAGGATTTTTCATATCTCCTGTGTTCAAAATCTCTAGTCACTGCTAACGTCCTCCTGCAGACATCATCTGGTGTCTACCGTATCACCAGGCAAGTAGTGACGATTGTACACGTGGCACTCTCCCGAAGCAGCACTGATCTAAATACTTTACACAAATTTGAATGTGACAACCCTGGGAGGTGAGTGTTGTCATCATCCCCATTCCCCAAATGAGGATACTGAGGCAGTAGACTAGAAAATCAGCTTGAGGTCACAACTTGATGCTGGTGGAGTGGGGACTAACCCAGGCAATGTAGCCCGGCATGTGTGCCGACAAACTAACCACTTGGCTTAAAAGTCCAGCAGAGAGAACTGATAAATGTGTAACTAGTAAGGCCTACTTACTCATCCATACATACAAAAATGAGAGACACAAAATGAAACTCTTAGAAAGAAAAAATGTCTGCTCATCTTCAAGTTACTTCACTAAGTCTGGAAAACTACCAACTGTAAGATGCATCATTATTATATTATTCACCAAGAAAGGAAAAATAGCTGCCAATTAAACTAGCAAAATGCCATAACAGTCCCCTTAAAAACATGTCACCTACAAGCTGACCACCTCTCTTGCCTCCACCACTTTCAATTTTATTACTAATAAAGACCAAAAAGAAGATTATTTTAATACCACTCTTTTGGGGAGGGGGGCCTCCATTCACTTACCTATATTTGTCTATTTCATTTTGTTAAATGTTATTTGAAATACAAGTTTAGATTGGTCAAGATGTCAGAGTACGTAAAATGCTCTGTTTGCCTCCTCTCATGACCACATAAAAATTACAACTAAACTACAGAACAACCATCATTGAGAATTACCTGAAGTCTAGCTGAACAGAAGTCTTATTAGGACTGAGGACATACAGAAGAAGCCACCTAAAGTCTGGCAGGAGGGGCAAAGACACAGAATGGGCTGGTCCCACACCTGTGTGTGGCAGTTAAAAATCGGGAGGCATTATCTCAGCTGTGGAGAACCCACTGGAGAATCAAGGGGTCCAAATGCCACACCAGGCTCCCAGCCCAGGGTGCCAGTAACAGAAAGAGAAGTCCCCACAACTTCTGGCTAGGAAAACCAGCGGACATTGTGGCTGTGTGAGACAAGGGCAGCTGGAGTCCCAGCCACTCCTCTTAAAGAGCCCATGCACAGACTTACTCCCTGATGTACTCATTCACTCTGAGCTTCAGCGCTGGGGCAGCAGCTCAAAAGTCACCAGGACATATGGGGAAGAACTGAATTGTCTGGCTTCAGGGCAAGGGCTGAAGGGGCAGCTTTCTCCCAGACAGAAGTGCTGGCAGAATCCATTATTTCACTGTTGAGCCCTCCCCTCTCCCAGCAGCAGACTCATGCAGCCAGCATATCTGAGTCTTCATTAACCTGGCTAACACTGTTTACTTCACCCTGGTGATTCCCTGAAACTCTGACCCACCCAACTTGCAGACCATTATCACAAACTCTTGTGCTAAGAAAATGATTTTCAAGTGTAATTGTTTACTCCAACCCATTTGTCTTGATGAATATTACTAAAACATTCACAGGGTGATAATTACTGATACTATACGTATGACCAAACCATCTATACCAGCAGTTCTCAACCTTNAATACAGTTCCTCATGTTGTGGTGACCCCCAACCATAACATTATTTTCGTTGCTACTCTATAACTGTAATTTTGCTACTGTTATGAATCGTAATGTAAAACATCTTTTTGTTTTCCGATGGTCTTAGGCGACCTCTGTGAAAAGGTCGTTCGACCCCCAAAGGGGTCACGACCCATAGGTTGAGAACCACTGAATACACACTGTGCGTATGTGTATAAACTCCTGTTTACACGGGCACTTTATAGAATCTTTTTATATTTTTGCCTCAGATACACAGTTGGTGGGATATTTCTAAATATGCCATATTAACAAGATCAACTATCTGTTTGATTTCTGGGCACTCACAACTTTAAAACACTTCCTTATAAGCTAACGGTAAGAACATTATACCCCAATAAAAACAAGGGCAAAAAAAATTTTTTCCTGAAGAAACACAAATGGCAGAGAGGAGAAGGCGAGATGGGGAGAGGGAGAGAGGGTGAAGAAGGAAGAGATGGAAAAAGAAAAGGAAAAGGAGAAAAAGAGTTTTTACACTGACCAATAATTTAAAAAGCATTAAAAAAATTAAAATGAACTTCCATTTTCACCTATCAAATTGACGATTTCTTTGAATGTAATATCCAATGTTAGCCAAAAAAAACAGCAATGCAGACAACTTTTCAGCAGTGAGATCTGTGCTTATGTGGATGTAAATTAAATTGGTATAACTTTCCTGAAAAGTAAACAGATAATATGTACTAATAGTTAAAATATAATTACTAAGTATTAGTAAACACAAAGTAAAACTAAAATTCATACCTGTTAACCCAGCAATTCCATTTCTAATTTATCTATTCTAAAGAAATATTCAGAGGCATATAACTATACATTTACAAAAAGCTATGGCTTTATTTATATTAGTTAAAAAAAAAGAAAAACAAAGACTACAACCAAAGAGAAAAGATAAAATGATATGTACACATGAAGCAATATTATACTATCAAAAATATTTCAGAGGACGTTTCAATGAAACGGAAAAAGAATCAGCAAAAGAAGCTGAAACTAAACTCTACATAATAGGATGAAGTTATGTTAAAATTATTAATTTTATAAAAAATAAAATATTTTTTCATACATAGAAAATCGATCAAACAAATGTATTTATCTTCATGGAGAAAACAAAAAACTCACTTGCTGAAAAGCAAATTCATATAGACATTGCTAAGCTGATATTCAAACCAGAAAAATGTATCCCAACCAACTAATATTTAAAATTATTTCTGAGCTCAGATTTCCCAGGGCTAAACATATTACAGATGCTTATTCTGAAAGGAAAAGAATGATACAATGACAAAGTATTTGCATCATACTGAATTGATCTAAATCAGACAATAAGAAAGATACTGGAACAGGGAAGTGACAGCTAAGAACCACTCTACTCAACAGTATTGAAAAGAATACAGAGAGGAGCACTGAAGGTAAACTGAATAACTTACAAGTGCACACCCAGTGAAATAAGTGAGTAATCCTGTGACACAGCACCAGAGAGGCTCATGAAATCATGGGAAAGAGTGACAGATGCAGACCCGGAAGACAATGCCAGATTCTCTGATTCCTCTTCCCACATCCTTTCAAAAGACACCCACATGCTAGTCAACCCACATTTACTAGAAAGTGGATGTTGAAGGCAGTATTTACTGTCTACAACCATTACAGTATTTAAAAGAAAATGTCCCTCTTACTTCCTTCTCAGCTATTTCGGGGGATCCCTATGATTAATTTTCTATAAAATGAGTCCAAGAAAGCTAGGCCTGAAGCATAAGAGTATCACGATCCACTGGAAAAGATCAGCTGGGAACAGAGAAAACATGGATGCTTAGTAAATACTGCCATTCACATGTTAACACACAGGGAATGTACCCTCCAGGCCTCCAGCTTGCTGGGGTGCCATTATTCTGGAACTTTGGGAGTTGCTCAAAGACTAGACTTGACCTAGAAGCAAGTAGAGCCCACATATGCCTTTCTTCAAACAATTGCTCCTTTTTCTTTCTTTTTTTTTTTTTTTTTTAGCTGAGCCATCCTGCCACCTGTTGGCAGCTCAGTGGCTGCTCAGCTCGGGCCGGGACTTGAACTGCTGTTGCTCAGAGCTCAAACTCTTGAGCAAGCTCTTAACCAACTGAGCCACTCGGCCGGCCCTGCCTTTTTCAAATAATTACTTTCACCAATCAAAAAATTAAGAGTATAACAGCTTAATTCTCCTTCAGAGACATATTTGTTGAAATATTTTCTCAAAGGTTTTAACCAAACTCAATTTCAATATAAAGATTTCAAAATTATTCCTAATTGAAGTCATTCAATATTTATAACATTAAAATAAATTTTGACTACTTGACACAAGAATTTTCAGTATAGCTTTTAAATTGTAGAATAATATTATAATATTTCCATGTCCTGGTTTATGAACCAAAACAAAACATTAAAGCAGTTCCCAAGCAGACTTTAAACACTAAAGTGAATGTTAAATGAGCCAGTGATTTATTAAACAGCTTTCTTTCTTTAAAAAGTTTTTTTTTTTTTTTGAAGTACACATATGAACACTACGGTGAAAAACAAACGTGATTCTAAAAGAAACTTCATGGTCTAAAAATTCTAACTTGACTCATCTTTTTCTGATTTGCACTGAAGATAAGCAACATTACAAATGAACCTTATCACAAAAGCCCAATCCAAAAGCACAATGATAAATCACTGTTCAGTTCAATTACTTTAAGCACACTTTCATTTTTTGCTAAGCTGCTGGTAAGCGTATGCCAGGCTGGGACACACAGTTCACCCTGACTACCTTCTGATAGGGGATTACCTGGCATATTTCTCAGGAGCTTCGCATTGCACATATGTCCCTTTCGAATGTCAGTAAGGATGTATTCCATCCGCTTAGCCCTCCAGAGGAAGTTAAATACTCTTAGGTAGTGGCTCATACATTCTCGAGTAAACACCTGAAAAGAACAGCAAAAGACAGGCTGATAGTATCTGTGACACAAGGATTCTCCCAGTATAGGTCTCAATCTTTTTTTCCTTTTTTAACAAAACAGCCAGAGAACACACAATCAACTCTAATAGATTCTAAGTGGTATGTAAGTAACTAGTAGGGTACATTTTAAGAAATACCATTATATAACAACTGCATTGATCATTTATGTGCTAAGTAGCATGTCAGGTAAACCACAATAATAGAAGGTGGGTATTTTTATACCAATTTTACAGATGGAGAAACAGAGGCCTAAGGTAACACAGCTATTAAATGCTGTGCTGGGATTTTCAAACCTAGCCTAATCCTAGTCTAAAATGCGGACTCCTCACTACAGCTCCAAAGGATAAAAATCTCTAGTCTGAAAAGAGGCCTTTTGGTTATTTTAACACATGTACTTAGTGCTTCTGAAGACCATTTCATTGCAAACGGCCAGCAGTTTCACAACCAGGGAGCCCTGTGGGTAGGGAGTGGGCGAGGCCTGCTTTCTATGTCCACCTTCTTCCTGCGGTGGCCAGATTTAGCAAATGAGAACACAGGATACCCAGTTAAATTGGAATGTCAGATAAACCACAAATAATTTTCTAGTGTAAGTATGTCCCATGCATACAGGTAACAGGGTTTTCTGCAGACTTCAGCTAAACACTTTTCTTACACATATGTGTATGCAGCAGAGGTGGGCACATTTTCATCCCTTTCTAGATGCCTCCAGCAGAGAACCCATTTACATATGTTACTGAAAATAGCCAGTCCAAGCAGGGCCTGCACACCAAGCAGCAGGTCTAGGCGGGGCATTGCAGAGCATGTGGTCTGCTCCTACAGAGTTTGCTGCTTCTTACCCTTGAGCACAGCCTTGCTCATTCACACCCTTAGGCCTTGACTCACATTACACTCCTGTAGTGCTCTATGCCCAAGTCTATCCTTTGCCTCTGCCCAAATCCCACCTATTCCTCAAGGACAAAGGCTACGCCTCTCCCTAGTCTCACCACTTCCCCTCTTCAGACACTTAGGACATTTACCACTTGACCCTTACTATTTTAGTATTTAATTGTAGAATGCTTTAACTTCTCTTCTTATTTCATACATCCTGGCACCTCTCACCTGTTACAAGGACTATCGGTTTATTCTTCTGCTTGCCTTTTTGTGCCAGTATCTGGTAGGTGTTCAACAGTGATGATTACATGTCTAAATAGGAGTGGTTGGGAGCCACTTTGAAGAGATCCAAAATCAACTATGAGTGTTTTGGAGATTATCCATTTTGCTGTGCTACCTACACTATTAACATTCTTGCAATTATAGAAAAGGAAAGTGACCAAATTAAATAATTCTAGAAATAAATCAAAGGATTCTTTACTTTACAAATGATAGCTTATTGGGATCCTTTAAGTACCAAGTTCCCAGAGCACATTTAACATGACCTGATTTATAAGAATTCAGTTTTATCACAACTCTCTAGAAATATTAACTGTTTAAGAGGAAGACACTCATGTTCCACTGCATTTATGTAGGGGAAGACATCCTCCACATTTTCGTTTTGCCATGTATATGGTCTTTCAGTTCATCGCCCACTATAAAGTTCAGATAAAATTAAGCATATAAGCTTCTGACACCTCATCTAACACCCTGAGATCAAGGACGGAAATAAATGGATTTTATCCTGCCCACTGTCAAAAAAGGAAGATTAAAGATATAATCTTTCCATATCCTTCTTCACAGAGTTAGTAAGAAGCTAAAATTATATGTTATATAAGATATAATTACATAACTAATATAAGGTATGTACCCATTATAATTAAATTCTGTACAAAAATGACAATCTCAATTAATGAGAATAGAAAGGAAATATAGATAATTTGGCAAATTAAAGAGGGAAAAATGAGAAAATCCATTTTCTCCCAAAATTTGACTCTCAAAGTATATTAAGTGTATTAGTGCACTTTTTATCTTTCTAGTGACTTCTGCATACAACTGCGTAAAATTTAATCTCTGGTAATTAAAAATTATTTCAATTTCTAATATTAGTCCGAATTCCTGCAGTTGTACGATAATATAGCTACAGGTATAGCCATTTGGCTGAAAAGATACTAACCCAGGACATGAACTAACCTTAAGACTAGAACAGCAAACACCGGACATGCGAGAGATCACTTCCCATATGCTGTCCCTGGCAGATTCCGCTCCTCAAATACAAGACCCTTTTCACCTTCCCAACTCAGCCCCCAAGGCCATAACATCAGCCTACTGGAGCTGGCATACAAATTGACACATTTTGTCCACAGACAGGAATATATCCTAAATTTGTTTTTTAAATAATGATATAAACTTCCTTTGACTCCTTCTACTAGAACTTTTAAAAATCTAAAAATTGAAAAATATAATATTGCATAATCAATTTTTTATACATAAAGTATGCAATACATAACTTTGATACCCCTAGTAAGATCTGCAATATTATGAAATAATTAAGTAGTTGTATATATAGACTACATTCAGTTTATCTATTACTCAAAGAACTTAACATTTTGTGAAGTAATCAATGCAATTGCTTTTACTATAGTATCGTTTACACTTTGAAAAAAAAAATATGTAATGTATACGAAACTAACAAGGTAGATAACATGGAAATTTCTAATTTAAATAATTTGTTAAAATATCCTGTTTTATACATTATAACTATTTAAAACTGTTTAGGATATAAGTCAAAGGTGAAAAAACTAATTTGAATATGACCAAAAATTAAATTTGAGAGCAGTTATTCATTTAAAATATGGTAGCTTTGATCTGGTGAAGTTTAAACATTAATAATTTATATGTAAAAAGAACTATACCAGGAGCTACCATTTCACAGTAGACATGACATTGAACCATTTGTCAATAGCAAATCAGTTAACCCGAAAGTGAAAAGAGGGAGAATATGGTTTTGATGAAAGTGTTCTAGCCAGGGATGTGATTTACACCTTGAGAAGCAGGAACAACAATGGAGTCAAACTCCGCAAGAACCACTGAGGAGAAATTTTAGACCCAAACGTTATTACTTCTTAACAAACTATTTTCCCCAATAATTAAAAGAAATGCATGTTCTTCCTCAATATTTCAGATATAAAAATGACTGGAATAATTTCAAAGAGGGATCTTAGGAGAATCTATGCAAGTCTGAATTAAGAAAAAAATTAGCACTTAAGGAGGGGCATTTTAATTGTAGACAAAAAAAAAAGGACAACTCTGCTGGTCAATCTTTTATGATCTGGTAACTTAAAAGAAATAGTGCTTTTCTTTAAGCATAGTAAAGGCACTATGAATAATATTGCAGCTACTTCTCATCAGTTGAAATGAATGCTAAATATCAAATTTTATCTAAGTAGTAAAAATACAACTCCCCTAAAATACATTTTATAGTTCCTTTCAACTTATCCTAAATAAGTCGCTAGAGTCTAAGAATAATGGAACAAAATGAATAATCCATTGATCAAATACTTGCTGAAACCTGATAGAACAAATGAAATTTTTAGGAATTCTTAAAATAGAGCATTTCAGCACTCGTTAATGACTATTTAAAAACACGCACACAATTTTGGCTTAAGTATTCTATTCATTCAATAGGTCTATCCTAGATGTCAAGTGATCCTTTAATTAGAAGCTCTTAGAGAAGAAAGCCAATTCTAAAACAACAAAATCTTTAGCAATGTAAATAGCTGTGACTATCATTAAAGTACCCAGAATGCTCTTACAGTTGCAATCGGTCCATCGACGTGGTAATCCAGGCTGAAGACATCCCACCCGGTGTCACCTGGAGACACCTAAGAGCAAAAACAAACAACTGCAGGACTTTCCACCAATGTTAAGCTTATTGCTAAAGAATTTGTCAAATACTCAAAGAACAGGCAGTAAAATAAAGCCCAATTTTAAAAAACTGCTCAATAGTTTTGAGTGTCAGCTACAGGAGAGCAGAGAATGCATCTTTTTGTCATATCCTGGATCCTTAGCATTTAGATCATGACAGGCACATAGTAGGCAGTCTAAAACTATTTTGGAATGAATGATATATTTTTAAATGAACACTATAAAATGTGTTTAAAATTCATCACCATTTCTTTATGACAAAAACCCACTGCCTTAAATGTTTGAAGTCCTTAAGAGAACATTTTTAAAACCCTACCAGGTCCTGCTAATGGCCCTTCATCATAACTAAGCAAAGTCTACTGTCTATGATACTCATTCCCCTAAATTATTCTATCAAACTAAAACTAAAAACATCTATTTATTATTATTATATATCATCTCAGTGGCTCCTATCAACATTACCCTTAGCAGGAACTAGGATTTACTAGGCATCCATGATATGCCACCAAGCTCTGTGACAAGTGTTGCATGTTATCTGCTCAACAGCCCTGAAAGGGGCCCCCTTTGTAAGGTGAGAAGTGAGACCTAGTGTGGTTTAGAGGTGCAATGACTTGTCAAAATCACACCATACAGGTGACAGGGTAGGGACTGAAGCTTAGGTTGTCCAGTCTTTCAGTAATGACTCTTTTTCAGTAATGACTCTTACCTACCAGACTAAACTAGCTACGCCTTAAACAACATGGGAAACATTACGCGAGAATGTGCTGGTCTCAGTGAGAGCTCTCTGCTTAGTGTAGACTGTATACATCCCAGAGTTGCAGTACCTCCAGCAGCCTCACATCCAGTCTTTTGAGGATCTCAGGACTGTCAAACTGGGCATTGGTGGCTCTGACAGCGGTTTCAAGAATTCCAGTCAAGTTGTGTTGATACAAAGTTGTAGCTGGACGGACAAGTTCTGGTCTTAACAGATATTTTAAAAATAAAAGAAAATGTTACTTGAATTTTTAGTAAGCTGTGTAAAAACTTAAAATTATAAAAAGAGTTCAAATTATAAAAACTAAAAAGACAAATGGATCCAATACTACATGGTAACAAAAATTTCACAGAATTAACTATAAATAGGATTTCACAAAGTATTTGGGGAAGTAAAACACTGCCTTAAAAATCTCAAAAAAAATTAATTTTGATTCAGTTTAAATTGAAAATACTTAAATGTGCCATACATGTTAACAAATAAAGTTTTCCAACTTACGACTAGCCTATAGTAGCATGAACTATTGTAATTTCCTACACAGTTCCAATGGGAGGATAGATCTTCATTAAATCAAAACAATCAGATCCGGGGCCGGCCGAGTGGCGCGATGGTTAAGAACTCGCTTGGGATGCCAGAGGGCCCCGGTTCGAATCCCACATATGAGGGCCAGCAACTTGTCTGTTCCCCTTTCCCCAATTCCCCAGCACTGTTCCCATCCCCCCAATTCCCCAATAAAAATCTTAAAAAAAAACAAAAAAACCCCAATCAGATCCATGGCTGATTCTAAGGGCTAAAAACAACTGCATTATCAGCAAACATTCCCGAAGGGATACTAACATCTGGGTTTCTAAAAAGGAAGCTAACATTTTTATGACCAAGAGCTGGCCGAGTTAAGAACACAGCCCTGGGATGGCTCCCAGGGGTCTAACTGTCTACTCTAGAAGCCAGGAGCTGTCTCCATCTTTACTGATGGAGGGAAAGACACAGAATAAGACAAAAAGAGTAGTAGTTGTTTTTCGAGTTTTTTTTTAAACAAAAAACCATGTAAAGTAAAACTTTCAGTTTTAAAATACATGCTTTTATTTTGTAACTACTTTCAAACTGAAGCTAATTGTGATTATGCTGTGTGCTCCTTGTATGCTAGACTGCCAGTGCCACAGTGCTCATAAAGCGCACAAGCTTCTCCTATGAACAAGCACAGAACACGTAGAAAGGGACTTTAACATGACAATGACAATTTTATCTTTTCCTATTTTATCTTACCAGTATGTTCTATAAGAATTCAAAACATTTCCCTCTAATGCCATTTATTAGGCAAGAATTGTAAGACTCTAACATACTGAAAGCTACTGTGTACTTATAACAACCAAAACAGTTTTCTTACTTGAGCAAATCCATTAGGTGCCTTATGAAATCTCCCTGACCGAGCAGCAAGTACCGCCTCATGGCCTGCATGTGGTCCAGCAAGCTGTACTTTTTATTGAAAACGTCCAACAGATATTTGCTGGTCTCAAAATAAGCCGCATCAATTTTCCCCTGAAATGCATTTTCCAAATCTGTGAATAAATCTGCAGCTGTAAAGAACAAAAGGGAAAAGTACATATACATACACAATTTGTATTTTAACAAAGGAAAAATTAAAGGTGCACACGTGTAAGAGTCATCCAAAGGAAGGCAAACAGGGGTCCTTATCCCATGAAACCAAAAACACTGACATCCGGTTGGATTTACAGCAGATATCTACACTGCGACCTATGGGAGGAACCCCTAATATTCATCATTTCACAGATTTAAAGGTCAAATGACCTTCTACAATGAAACTAAACTCAAAATCTCACTAAAACACTGGTGAAAAGTACAGAGAGTAGGGCAGGTTAGTGTTGCATTGCCTGCACATGCCTACAAGACATTTTCAAAACTTGTTTCAGGAATAAACCCAAACAGCACATGGAATGAGCTTTGTGGATGTGAAACTCAGTGTAAGCGTTAGGTATGGTTATCATGCAGCCATATTAGAGCATCAGAGAGTAAGCTCTAGGGAAAGATTTGGAGATTTTTCAAAGCACGGGTAATAAGAGTAGACTGTCACTAATAAACAAGCCTAACTCTAAGCAGTAACATAAAAAATAAAAACAAAAAAAATTTCCATAGCTTTATATTTAAAAGAAATAGCATATGGAGATTAATAGAGCTTTTTAATGCTAAGTTATACCTGTACAGCACAAAACCGTTTATAAAATTTATCTAAATACTTGATTTTATTTCAAAACAGTAACAAACTAGAAAACAGTCTCAATGTCAAGAAACAATCTAAGATTGAGAAAAGGTAAAATACTTGCTCAAGGTTAAGCAAGAAACAAGGTCTTTATAGAGTCCAATTTGAGTCATTCCCACTACCTCAGTCACCAACTTGAAAATATCATAAGACTTTAAGATTTTTTGTTTGTTCTTCATAATTGTCCCATTAAGAAAAACTTATTTTAGTATTGCTCTTATTCCAATTACACATTAACATGGGAAAACCAGGGTGTCCACAGTGAGGAAAATGTACCCTGTTTCCTGTAGGAGGGGCAGTGTGATGATGCAATAACATGAGGAGGCTACTCAGTGAGCTGTGCGTGGTCAGTTTTAAGGGGAGAGGCTGTATATTTCTGTTGATATATGTAGTTTTAAAAGGGTAAATATTGCCCCCCCCAGAAATGTTTTTACTATTCCATTGTTTGAGTCATTAAAAATTTTCATTCCAAAGAAGTTTTAAAATTAGCCAATTTTAGCCCAAAGTGGCCTATCAGAAAATATATGATTCAGAGTTTCCTTGTACACTCTTATCCCTTAATGATTTAGACATATCTTATGCACCCCTTTGTAAAAATTTACTCCTCATTTTTTAGTCACACTTTTAAATCTTCAAAAATTTTCACACATAAAAAATATAAATTTGACTTTTTCATTGCTTTTTAAATTATTAGCAGTCCTTCAGGGTTTACATCTTTTCTATTCCCAACTGTACTATAAGCTTAACAGCAAAAATAAACCTTGTTCTGCAGAATGCAGCAATGGAGAGGGCGACAGGCACAGCAGTAGCCGCTGTAACTGAGAAAAAGTTGTGGCAGTAAATTAATAGCAGCGGCCACATCGATGGAAGCCTCCTGCATGCCAGGCATTTACTGGCTGCTTCGCCTCAACAACACAATCCGTGCCTGTGGTTCCCCACAGCAAGCACATGCACACAGTACTTGGCCTCTCAGGTTGGTCATCTTCTCTAGGCATTAAGGAAAGGTCAAAATCTGTCAATACAACTCTTCCCCTGGCTCTTCTTGCTTCTTCTCTTAAACAGTCTATTTCCAAAAATTCTGTACTTGAATCACATCTCTCTCTGTCCTAGGAACTAACCTGGGGTCTATGGATCCCTAAAATGAATATGCAAAGGGTGTTAAATGCACTTGGGGAGGTAAGCAGGGGGTGGGGGGGATAAGTGGGAGCCGTGTCTGACCCCACAGCTGGAACTATCGCTATGCCATGGAGCCCTCTCCTAAAACAGCATGGTGATACAGGCGCTTTCCAAATCTCTACAGTCTGCCCTGACCTCATATGGATTTTCAGTACAGCATTTCCAATACATTCTGGAAATCTCCTCTAGTGAGTCCTATCAGACCCTGAAAATCAAATTGGGCTAACAGGTATAAGAAATGATGCTCAATATCACTAATCATCAAGAAAATGCAAATCAAACCATATTGAAGTATCATTTCACACCTGTCAAAATGGCTATTATCAAAAAGGCAAGAAATAACAAGTGTTGGCGAGGATGTGGAGAAAAGAAAACCCTCATGCATTGTTGGTGGAAACGCAAATAGGTTCAGCCACTATGGAAAACAGTGTGGTGGCTCCTCAAAAAATTAAATAGAACTAGCTTATGACTCAGCAATCTCACTCCTGGATATTTATCCAAAGGAATTGAAATCAGGATCTCAAAGAGATATCTGCACTCTCATATTCACTGTAGCCTTATTAACAACAGCCAAGATACATAAACAATCTAAATGTCCATTAACAGATGAATGGGTAAAGAAAATGAGATATATACGCACAATGGAATATTTTTTAGCCTTAAAAAAGAAGGCGGGCCGGCCGAGTGGTGCGATGGTTAAGAACTGGCTCGGGACGCCAGAGGGCCCTGGTTCGGATCCCACATATGAGGGCCAGTGACACTGCCCTCCACAGCTAAGATGCTGAACAACAGCTCAACCTGTAGCTGGGCTGCCCTGAGTCGCTGGCGACGGCATAGGCTGCAGCCCCTGTGGCAGTGGGTTGCCATGAGCTACCGTGTGTAGCCAGCAGCCAACGTGAGCGGCCAGCAGCCACAGTGAGCGGCCGTCCAGAAGCCGGTGACTGATGTGCCTCGCCCGGGAAGAGCGCAATGATGGTGCCAACTTGGGCCAGTGAAGCAACATCCTCCACAACTAGATTGAAGAACAAAAGGACAGCAACTTGTCTGTTCCCCTTCCCCCAATTCCCCAGCACTGTTCCCATCCCCCCAATTCCCCAATAAAAATCTTAAAAAAAAAAAAAAGAAGGCAATTCTGCCATTTGTGACAACATGGTTGGATCTGGAGGACATTACGTTAAGTGAAATAAGCCAGGCACAAAAGGACATACTGTATGGTATCACTTATTTGTGAAATCTAAAACAGTTAAACTCATAGAAGCAGACAGTACAATGGTGGTTTTGGGGGCTGGGGAAATGAAGAAATGGGGAGGTATAGGTCAAAGGGTAGAACGTTTTGGTTATACAAGTTCAGGTGATCTACTATACAGCATAATGCCTATAGATAACAATATTATATACTTAAAGTACTTTATCTGTATATCTCACTTATCATTTTTTAATTTGTTATTTCATGTTACTGTACATCTTATCGCCATACCTAGATTATAGGCTCATGAAAGGCATAACTATGGTGAATTCAGATTATCTTCCCTCTAGCTACCACAATGTCCTACGTAAAGTAAGCTTGAATGAAGCAAAAGGACAATATAAATAGCAAATATAGCCAATACTGGAAAGCTATACATGTAAGTCAGCCACACACAAAATACCATGAAATTATTGAGGTCAGGGCAGGACGCAAAGGGAAAAAATAGAAGAGAGCATAGCAGTGAATGAGGAAAAACCATAAATCATTTAATGCAGGCAGAAATTTATGCAACAGTTTGAATACAAGAAACACTTGTAAATCCTTGCTGATTTCTGAGTATGGCTACCATTAGTAACATTTTTTCCTTTATTTTCTTATTTTGGCAGGTTGTCACTATATCATTAGAAAAAAGTAATACAATAAGAGTAAAATAGCTATACCTATTCCAACATTTATTGTTTAACTCTATAAAAAAGGAAATTCAAAATTTACGTAATAGATATTTTATACATATCACACTGTGTATTTTCTGAAAATAATTTAGAAATTGTGTCAGTTCTATTGAATGAAAACTACTTCAAGCAATATACCAAGGGTGCCAAAAAATGTACACATTTGAAGAGATGTTATCTATGTATTACTTTTTGAAGCTGAATTACGGTAGCAATGTATAGTATGATGTTTGCTCAAAAGATGGCGTTAATCGAATAAATGCTAGCATCATTCATTGTATTACAATTTTAATACAGTTTTGTCCTTAAAATGTGCACACAGTTTTTTGGCACCCTCTGTAGATCACCATCACCACCATCACCACCACTATCACAGTCACCACTATCATCACACCACTACCAACATCATACCATCTTGGGGTGATTCTGCAGACTTGGTCACAGCTATCATCTTTGTAGTGGGCGTCTGGTCGTGACAAACCTGGTGCAGGAAGTTTATTGATTTTCCTATCAAAAGGACCTAAAAAAAGAAAATATCCTAGAGTTACCTTTACATAAAATAAAAATGATCAATCATCCAACTACTACAAACATTCAAAAGTAACAAATTAACTACTGATTAAAAACTAAATAACAAGAACATGTGGGATAGTATGAAGTAAATTCTAGGAACTGAAAAGCTGTTATTAACAAACACATTAATATGTTGACTTATTCAATTAATATATATTTCACTTCAGAGTCTGAATCCTAAAATGGAATGAAATTTTACCTGAAGATTAGTTTTGTCACATGATCCAGACAGATATAGCATTAAAACATCAAAATCACAAAAATCTCTTCTAACTCTACCTTCTTAGATTGATCCATGGTAATAAATGAAGGAATCATCGATTTCCTTAAAGTGTACTTGTCATGCCACAGTCGATCTGTTTTAACTGTTGGATCTGATGCGACAAAAAACTGAAAACAAAGAGGCATTGAAACATTAAAAAGGAATATTTATGGCAAAATATCAGGTATCAGCAACATCAAAGAATAAGTTATTCTATAAAGCAAAGTTCTCCAGATACAGGGGAACTTAACATTTATATAATAAAACTTGTTTTAAAAAAGCATTTTGGATAGATCTCTCTAAATGCAATCACATATTTCCCAGACTTTTAAAACCAAAGTATAATGAAAATAAGCTCTTGAAGACTTAGGATCTTCATTATGAATATCAATCATAGCCTCTGCTGTGTAACATTGAAGGTATAAGTGTGAGGGCTGCCTAATCCATTTTGGACCTTAGCAAAAACATATCGACTTCTTGAGCTATCTGAATATTCAATTCATGCCTGCTTCCTAGAGTTTTTCCAACTGCATCACTTGCATCTACTCAGCTGTGTCTCCATCTATCAGTATGCCTGCCCTCTGCAGGCTCTCTTGCAGAGCCCCCGTCTGAACACAGAGGTGCCTAAACTAATGTACTTTGCTATGCTAACGGACTATTGGCTACAGGTAGACCCATGGCGTAGGAATGGCCAGCACCAGTCTACCAAGTGGCAGGCACTACAGAAGTAGTGCCCTGAGAACCACCACGCTCAGAAGCTTCTCCCTTGTCTAATGTACGTCTCACCTCTGCTGTCCCCACCAACCAGCCTGATCGTTGACATCAGAAAGAACACAGGGTGGTAAGGAGAAGACTAAACAGCTATTGTTTCTAGATCACTTGTTATTCCAGAGACCAGTCTCATTTTTCAGTCTTATGTCCTAACAGGCTTGCGCTTTTATTTCTATATAAACTCAATTTCTAATAGCAGAACTGCTGAGTCAAAGAAACTTTTTTTCATTTTTATAGACAATGCCAGATTTCTTTTCCAAATAGCTGTGCTGATTGATCCTCCTTCCAGCAGGATGCTCTATATTCTGCATCCTTGCTCATTTTAGATTTTGCCAATCAGTTAGATGAAATCATGGTTGATTGTACTACTATTTTACTGACCACAAAAGAAGTTGGGCTTATTTTGGTTATGTTGACTGCCATTTGCTTTTCTTCTGTGAATTATCTTTTCATATCCACAACTCATCAATTGAGTTTGTCTTTCTTTTATCAATATATTCTGTTATATTAGGGACAGTGACCATTTGTGAATCACTAAGTATTACAAACTTAATATTTCTAAGTTATTCATTTGCCACTGTTTATACTATGTTACATGTTTATGTTTTGTTCTATTTTTGTGTTATGTATATGTAAATGTTTTCCTTTACGGCTATGGAGTTTCCTATCTTAATATCTTCCCATTCCTAGATCACAGAAATATTCTCTATAATTTTCTTCTAGTATTCCTACTGTGTTATTTTTATTACTTAGATCTTTCATCCCTTTGGAATTTATCTTAGACATAATATGATATAGAGGGTCTATGTTTCCCTTTGGACAGCATTTTTTCTTTACTGGCCAGGTCAGCACCTTTTACTTAATACACCATTGTTTCCTCTGAGCTAATATGCCTCATCAAAATCTAGCATTATAATTAATCAATAGATTAAATGGGGGAAAACTGACTAAATCGAGAGATCCAGAGGAGGTATTTGATAATGTCTTTATTGCCATCCTTCAATGGTGACGTTAGTTTTTTTGTTTTACCATCAGACCATTAGTTATTATCCTTACTGGCGCTCCATGTTTCCCGTTCTGGGATGATGGGAGCATTTTTAAGCTAGCTCCTGAGTCCTTCAGATGTCACCCGAGTTGTCTTCCTTGCTTCTGGTTTGGAAGGTGCTTTAGGCTCATCTTGTTCATTTCTCCCCCAGAATCAGCCGATTCCCCACGAAGCCCTAATTCCTCTTAGAGGGAAGTGGTATTTGGACGACAACCTCAGCACCTGCCGGTATTTTCAGCTAGAAGCTGGATGGTTTGAGGCTCAGCAATGGCTATGCTACATGTGGCAGCAGGTTCCCCAGTCAGACTTTAAAATGGATTTAAGTCATAACATACCTAAAGTGCCTTTTTTGTGATTCTTACATAAATTCCAAATCACCAATAGGTGAACATCACACAGCCCTGGCTAGGATGGTGTCCATAGATACAAAATGTATTAAACAATTTTAAAAGTATTTTTAAAATTTATATAGCAATACAAGATTAATGGTTTTCTAGCAAAACATATATAACCAAAACTTAATCAAGAAAAGAGAGGGGACTCTAAAAGGAGCAATATATCTTTAGAAGAAATCAGATATGTAAAATGCTACCTATCACTAAGGCATTTAAAACCCAGACTTTAAAAACCAAAATATAATGAAAACAAATGAAGGGCCTATTTAACTTTAAAAAATATATCATTCTTATGTTAAAAGTATTCTAGAAAATTATACAGAATGCTCCAGTTTATTTTATGAATCTAGAATAACACTAGCAATACCTGATAAAAAAAAATACCCAAAATGGAAACTATGGGCCAGTTTCATTTGAGAATATAGATGAAAAAATTCTGAATAAAATATTATCTTTGCATTACTAGGATAAAATATTTTTGGTTAGGGCACATTATACTTCTAAAATATTACTAAATATCTAAAAGCAAGGGAATATTTAATGAATTATAAACTATTATCATATAGTCACTGAAAATAAAGTTTGTTCTTAACTATCACAAACCCTTCTGAGAATCTGATGAAAAGTACAGATCTTTTCCCAGGAAAAAAATGCATCTATCCACAAACACACAGTTTTATGTACTACTCAGAAGTCTGAGAGATCACATAAGACTTGGTATAAAACAATAATATTTAATGGCATGAAATTATTTTCATTATTTGCTTCATATAAAAAAGGGCCAGCCGAGTGGCACGATGGTTAAGAGCTGGCTTGGGACACCAGAGGGCCCCGGTTCAGATCCCACATGAGGGCCAGTGACACTGCCCCCCACAGCTAAGATGCTGAACAACAGCTCAACCTGGAGCTGGGCTGCCCATGAGTCACCGGCGACGTCGTAGGCTGCAGCCCCTGTGGCAGTGGGTTGCCATGGGCTACCGTATGTAGCCAGCAGCCAGCGTGAGCGGCCAGCAGCCGCCATGAGCGGCCGTCCAGAAGCCGGCGACTGATTTGCCTCGCCCGGGAAGAGCGCAATGATGGTGCCAGCTTGGGCCAGTGAAGCAACGTCCTCCACAACTAGACTGAAGAACAAAAGGACAGCAACTTGTCTGTTCCCCTTCCCCCAATTCCCCAGCACTGTTCCCATCCCCCCAATTCTCCAATAAAAATCTTTAAAAAAAAAAAAAAGTAAAAGATTACAAAATACTCTGCTTGGTATGATACATACACAGAAATATACAAGAATACATTGAAAAGGGGGAGATATAAAAATATTAACAGAGGTTATCTGTTTATAATGAGATTACTAATAAATTTTAATATTCTCTTCTGTGTTTATATGCTCAAATTTTTTTAATTGCACAAGTATTTTTAAATTAAAAAAAAATATTGTTCTAAAGAACTGAGTAATTCAGCCAATGAGTAAACTTGTGGTACCAGTAAGAACTGGTTTTTTTTTTAATAAATTTTTTAATTTAGTAACATTATTTTCCCAGGGCAACCAACTAAAAAAGATTTTTCTTCTGTTCACAGAATTCTACTACAAAGGGTAAATATTTAAGAAAAAAAAATTTTTTTAAGATGATCCTTGTAAGTCAGGTCTAGATAGTATCAATTATGTACAGACAATCTCCTCTATAAGTAGGTATTTGAATAAATGCCAACATTTTTATGACCATCAGGATGAGTCACTACATTTATTTTCAATTCAAATTTTTTATCTTTTGGTACCAATTTAAATTATTAAAGTATTTATTGATCTTTATTTTCTAGTTTGTTACAGTACCTTTCTAATTTTAAGCACATAATTAATGACTGCTTTGAAGGATAAACAGTACTACTATATTGTGACTATCATAAGTTTAACATACACGTGAATCATTCCTGATAGAAATAAAAATGTTATAAGCCCACCAGGAGCAGGGTACTATCACCATGATATGACTACTCTGTAGCTTGCCATTCAACAGATTAATTGCATATAAATTGTATTTATCTGTTATTCACTTAAACAGAAAAGCTAGTTTCTATAGACAACACACAAATTTATCCTGACAGATGGAGTGCAGCCAGATTTTTATCAGTATGAACAATAAGAAATTTTAATTTAAAAGATAAAAACCTCAGACAATCCTGTCTTCTTCAGAAGTTATGAAAGCATCACTTCATCTGAGGGCAAAGTAGCAGGCAATTATTCCACTAGCAAACATCTAGTAGCAAACACCGAGAGGAATAGGTACATCTTAGAATTTAATTAATGCCATAAAAAATATATAGTTATAGAGGAAAAATCAAGGCCAGAATATAATTGCAATATGCTTTTATTTTATTGATGCATTTTCCACTCAAGGTTCTTTAATTTTCACCATTATGTCAAACTCAGAAAGAACCGAGGGAAAAAATAAAACATAATTGTACCATGATTTCTCATTAACTGTTGGACAAATGCCAAGGCCTCTCTACTATAAATGGAAATGAAGAGGGTAATTTTATTAGCAAGCAACTTAGTTTCTAAGAACCAGATCCATTAATACAGATCACAAAAGACCCCAACTTCAACCTGTCAATCTGCAGGCAAATACCAAGAGACCCATACCTAGAGAGGCTCAGCTCAAATGGCTCTGGACCAGAGGAATGGGTGAAAAAGGAATCAGGTAAAGTGATAAATAACAACATTTCAGTGTGGGGCATAAAAACACCAAAACAGTAAAGTTTGTATAAGGTAAACTTTAAATTTCAATAATTCTCAGCCAAAGTATAAAAGGAACAAAATAAGAGTGCTGAAAAGATCCACAGAGATAGGTATTCCCAAAAGCACTCCCTGAATTTTCTCTAGTTTGCTGATCTTCCAATTCAAGGATGGAGATTTTCAGGGCAT